GGTACAGTAAAAATATAGTATTATAATCTCATGGGATTACCATCGTATATACAGTCCATCATTGACCGAAACATTGTTATGAAGCACATGACTGCTTATCTCTCAATTATAATGCCTTTTAACTTTTAAATCATTTCACTGAGGAAGGGTTAAAAAAACCTGAAAAAAATTAAAATCCTGAAAATGCATTTTTATTTTTAAAAGTATAACACCGCAAACCACTTATCTCATTCGCCAGTTTCTGGATTAGCTAGCTGTATCACAGTGATTCGGGAATGCAGAAAAAAATTGTGCATTGTGTGTGCCCTTGTGTAATCTTTAAAAAATCATATATTTCTCTGAGCTCCAACACCCAGAGACTCTGATCCAGTGTATTTTTTTATCTGTTTTTTTTTTTATAATCTCACAGGTGATTGCGGTATACAGCCAGGCTAGGATTGATCGCTCTGAAACAACTTTCCTAACAAGTAAGTTCAAAACCCCCAGATGGACCATAAACCACAGCCAATCTGATAAGCTGAACTGATAATTCTGCATCAGAACAGCAGCAGGCTGCAGAGACTTTCAGGGCAAGCACAACCACCTAACCAGACACTGATCTTATCTTCCCTCTCCCAATCCTCCCTGGCTGCTTCTGACCCTCACAGGAAAGGGGAGAAAGGCACCAAAGACCTCATGAGACCCAACCTCTGCCTTCTACTCCTCCACAGAACATGACTCTATCTCAGAGGCCCAAACAAGGCTTATGAGCCACGTTCTGCCGATCGCCTAAACCTGTGCTGTGCAGTAAGGCCATATTTGGCCATTTAAATTTAAAGTAGAAGAAAAATTGAAATTAGTTGAAACTCAATAAAATTCAGTTTCTCAATCCCACTGGCCAGAGTTTAGGTATTCCACGGGCTCATGTGGCTACTGTACTACACAGCACAATCACAGACTATTTCCATCATCACAGAAGATTCTATCAGACAGGGCTGACCTAAAGCAGTAATTTCATTTTGAAAAGGTGTCTGTTCACCTTCCCCGATAGGTTTGGTTTTCAAGCTTTTGTCCAGGCCCCTACTGGAGGGACATAATGCTGCCCAGAGTGACCGTGACTGCTTAAGGCAGGAACGCTGGGGGAGACAGGCAGGGAAATCTCTAGGTCACGTGAGATCTGCAAACTACCCCCACCCACAGGTCCCCACATCCCTGCTCCTAGGCTGAGAATCACTGTAATTCTTTAAAATTCTAAAAAGGAGCCTCCTTCCAATTCCAACCACAAGTACTAATCGTCCACGATTAGAAAAGACAATGTAGAGACAAGTATGCAGGTGAAGAACCAGCCTGGCCACACTGAAAGAATCAGGTATGTCTCACCTGAGAACAGGAGGTGTGGCCAAAAGAGAGTTACTTGGAACACAGTAGTCTTTGGAAGCAGAGAGATATAAAAATGATGTTTTTAAAGTTTATACTGTGAAAAGTTTTTAATGGCAAAACAGTATGATGAACTCCCATGTATCAATCACCCAGCTTTAACAGTGATCAACTCCAGCCAGTCCAGTTTCCTCTATGGCCCCACCATCCTTCAAGCTGTGTCTATACAGAGGGAAGAGGGAGAAAAGCAGGGTGGAAGTCAGCCCGCAGGCTGTCGAGGGTCTATGTCTTGTTCTAGCTACTAACTCTCTGAGCCCTAGTTCCCTCATCTAGTAAGTGAGCCCCAACCTCACGGGGCTGAGAGAGGAACACATGAAACAATCCCTGCAGAGTGCTCAGCCTGACGTCTGGCTAAGCAGAGGCTCTACAAACTTTGGCTCTTGCTGCTACTGTGGTGACTGTCATTGTTCTTGGTCCCACCTTCCAAAACGTCTTTCTAATCCCTTCTTATAGCTAGCACTATAGTCTTATAGTTTGGTTTCATGGTTTCAATTAGGGAGGGAAAAATAAGTCTGCAATGGTCTGAATGTTTGTGTCCACCCACCCCAAATCCATATGCTGAAACCAAATCACCAAGGTGATGGCAATTAGGAGGTGATTAGGGTGAGGGTGGAGCTTCATGCATGGGATCAGTGCCATAAAAGAGGCCCGAGGGAGCTGCCTGGCCCCTTCCACCAGGCGAGAGCACAGCGAGAAGGTCCCGTCTATGAACCAAACGCAGGCCCTGGCCAGACACCAAATCTGCAGTTATCTTGATCTTGGACTTCCCAGTCTCTCGAATTGCGATAAATAAATATTTGTTGTTTATAAGCCGTCCGGTCTATGGTCTTTTATTATAGCAACCAGAATGGACTAAGACAGAGTCCACATAAAAAAGATAACATCACTACTGCTGCTGTGGTTCACTAATGCCTCCACTAATGCCTCTATTGCTGTTGCTGCTACTATTTGTACAATTAGCTGTAGTTACACTTGCTATTGCTTTTTGAACTTTTATTCTATGTCAAGCACTGTGCCAAATCATTTACACACACTGACTGAATTCTCACAGGCACCCTGTAAGGGGATTCTGTCATTATTCCTATTCCACAGTCGAGAAAACAGGTTCAGAGAATTTAAGTGACTTGCCTAAAATCACATAGCTAAGGAAATTCTGAGCCCAGATCTGCCTGACTGGAAGGCCTACACCTTCCGCTACACCAAGCTAAACCTGAAATGCTCCTGGGGCTAACATGTGATGAGGGGACCCACCCTTGCTTACCATAATGAAAAAAAAAATTATATCACAGATTCTAAAAGTTAAAAACTCTCAGTGAAAACAGATTGTCTTTTTAAACAGCTAGTTGATGCTCCTTCAACTATTTTTACCTTGTTAACTATGACTCCTAGCTTTTCAAATATATACCATAAGTTTGTTTATTGTGACTAGTAGAGCTTCCTACCCTGTATATCCTCAAACATATGCCCCTTCTTAAAAAGGAAGCCGTAAAAGCGAAGTTTAAGAATCAGGGTGAAACAGTCACCTGGTTTCTACCTGGCAGATATTCTCCCTCATTTCTTTCTATAGGCAGATTTTTTAGAGAAACAGCTAGTCGATCATATTTTTTAAAATTCCAAGTTTGTGGTCTTGTGGTCCACAACAGATTATATCCAAACAAACTAGAATTTCTATATCTAGGACTTGCTGTGGTAATGATGTTTCACTGACTGAGTTACCGTGAATTCTCTAGAAGGAATGAATCCGTGCAGCACGTTCTCTGAGGATTCTGCCCTTCCTGCATTCCACACAATACAGGAAGCCCAAGAGGGTCTGGAGACCCCTCGCGTGCTGCCCTGGACAAGGGGAGCACCCTACGGCGAGACTGTCTGGCCCATGCACGCGCAACAATGCTCAGGAGCTCGGAGGACTATGAGAACAGAGATCAGCTGCTCCTAGAGTCTGGAACTTCATGGACCAGTATAATTTCAGAAGTACTGAGCAGACTGACAGACTTAAGGAAACAAGGAAACACCAGACTCCACAATCAAAACCACAGAACAGCAGCAACCGAACACCACAGACACATGCACTCACCAATACTCATACTAGCTTTTATCACAACCATTTCAGAAAGAAAGAAATTTTAAACACAGAAGCATTGAAAGACCAGAGGCTCAGAGTAAAACACAATTCTTTCTAAGAAAAAGAGAGCTAAACTCTCAGGTAATGAGACACATACAGAGGGTGGGAGGCAGACAGACACACAAAACATCCTCCATACTTTTCCTCACTTCCTGCAGACGGGAAATACGTGCTCTGGCTCATTCCAGACCACAGGCGGTCACTGAAGTAGCTCTGGAGATCCTACTCACCCTGCCCTCCTCAGGAGCCCATCTCAGCCCTGACCCTGTCGGGAATCTGGCTGGCCTCTCCTGGGTGCTCACTTCCCAGGCCCCAAACATTCCCTAGTTCCCACCAGACATCTTCCTAACCACTGCCAGGGCACTAGCAACGTCCTCTGCACAGCCTGCAAACCCCAGATGGAATTTCTGCAAGCCTTATTCCTTCAGAATAAGCTCTACTTCTTCCAAAAAAATGTTTTAAGGGGTCCCATCTGGGTACATACACACTGCGAGAAATGCGCAGGTCCTATTACATTCAGGTAAAGGGGATTTCAGGAGCACAAATACTACTATCTCCCACATATGAGAAAAGGGAAGAAAAATAAAGAAACACTTTATTAGAATAATATTAAAATTGGAACAATGCCCAGAGAACATGAATTTGCTAATATGGGAAAGTATTCTGCAAATGAAAAAAGTACTTCTTGCATTTTAAATCAGTTATGCAAGAAAAGTCTGAGGCCCTTCCTAGAAATAATTCATTTTCTGAAATAACTCAAGATAATGGAAGTTGATATATACAACCTTCTTCCAATAAACCAGCCATTCCACAGAGAGAGGTGTGTGCATTATAAAAGCCAAACCCTTCTAGGTAATAAGTTGCCATGAGTTTGATACCCTTTAAAATGGAAGATATTAGTAACTCTCACAGTTACACAATTCAATATCCAAGAAAGTACAGTCATTCATTCCTACGAAAAACAGAAAAAGCAAGACATTTAAAGCTTAGATATTTTAATTAGCAAGAAGCCCCTTTTTAGGTTATGCAGGATCTGGTTTTTTAAAACTTAAAAGCCAAACATTATTGAGTCCCCTACTTTCTTTGTTAGTATTTATTTAAGGGTCTGCATCTCTCCTCTCCTCCCTGAGATATTTGAAAGCACAAATGTTATTCCTCTCTGAGATATGAGCACCTTGCACAGGCCTGGCACAGAGTAGGTATTTAATACCTGTTTGCAGAAAGTGGCAAAAAGGCCAGTAGGAGGATGAATCCGATGCCGCCTTAGTTCTTCCGCATTTCTCCCGCCTATCGCGCTTGCAAAGGGTTTCATGACAGCCCAGCCAGAGACTTAGGGGTGGGTGGGGCTAAGTGCCCAGGCTCATTCCACATAATTACTAAATCGACACCCAGCCGCTTAGCGACAGACAACACAGACACTGTCCTTAAGGAGAGAACTATGAGGAAAACAAAGCAGTCCTGCCTTTTCGTCCTGGTACAGCTTGTTGACGCTCTCCAGCTGAAAGTTGTGGCTGGACTGGATTTTGTCGAGCTGCTCCCGTTGCTTTTCCAGCTCTCCCTGGAACTCATTCTTCTTCAGCTCCACGGCGCCCCTCTCCGCGGCCGCCCTGCGGACCCTGCCTTCCAGCTCCACGATCCGCGTCTGCAAGGAGACCACGGAGTCAGGGCCAATGCCAAGCCAGCCCCAGGCTGGACCCTCTGAGCTCCCCCAACCAAGACCACCCAGCCTCACGCCCGTGACGCGGGCCCAAGGTTCCATGTTCTCAGTCAACTGCAGAGAAGCTAGATCAGGGTTTCCTGGAGAAATGGCGCTGTACGTGGAGGAAGGCGCTCTGAGCTCACCACCACGCCTTCACAGCATTCCTGTGAGGTTTAAATGAGGGAAGCACACAGAACACCTCACGCTTTACCTGGTGTGAGGTGGTGCTCCAATGTTTAGTTCCTCCTCCCTGCTAATAAAGCCCTTAACAACTCCTCATCAGGCAAAATTTCTGAAAACAGATTCAGTTCTCCACCTCCGGACATCCACACCTCATCTGCCCAGAGAACAGGGCTCTGGTCCAAGCTCAGGCACTGGGCCTGTAACTGTAGTGGGTAAGCCTGAGAGCAGGACAAAGAACAGATGGGATGGAGTTCCACAGCTGAGAACCCGCTGGTCGGAATCCCTACTGCACCTGTAACTTAGCCTCTCTGTGCCTCAGTTGGGCCACCTGTGAAATGGAGAAAGTCAAGTCTCAACCTTGGAGGATTTGTGAACAAAAAGTGCTGGTAAAGAGAAATCATTCTGATATTTATTAAAACAGTAAGACAGACTTTACTCAAGACTACTGCAATAGGGGTCATGACTACTGAGTCATGGAAAAGCTCAGGGGGGCTATTTCAACAGCAATCCTGAATAGTCAGCGGGGTCCTCTCCTACCCAAAGCAGAGCTGGCGTGAAGTCTGGCCCAGGGCTGGACGGGGTGGACCATGAGCAGCACAGTCCTGGACTACATCACCCTGCAGCGTTAAATACTTCACGGCATCCACGCAAACAAAACAAACACCCAAAACACCTGGAGATCCACACTTCGCGAGCTCGCAATCCAATAGTTGAAGCCCAGGACGATGATGCAGGCCACCAGGGCAGCCAACACGAGGGGCGGCGACTTCATGCTGCGGCGCCCGTTTCCCAATCCCATCATCTCAAAAGCCGGGCTGAGGACCTGCCGAACAATAACAAACAAATGAGCCTCAATGCTTATACACACTGATAGCATCGCCACCCCCAAAGCAGGCTGCACCATCATCACAGCCGCCAGGGAAGGTGACCTGCCAGCACGCACAGACTCCTGAAGCTGTGGAGGAGACAGCGAGCGGGTGGCACAGGCAGAGCCCAGCTCTGTGTGCCCTGACGGCGTGGCCAGGCTGGGCACGGGCCCCAAAGCCTGCCACAGACTAGCTCGAGACCTTGGGTAAAGCAGGATTTCTCTCACTCTTCAATTCCTCATCTACATAACGGGTATTGTAGTACTCACCTTCACAACATAGTTTGAGACTTAATCAGTTCTATAAACAGCAATGTCTGAGAATTAATCATTTCTGCAGACAGCTATGGCAAATACTGTTTCCGCAACAAATGAGAAAGAAAACATTTCTCATTATTTCCCAGACAGAACTTTTTGATTTGATTCCTAACAAGGGAAGTCTGGTTAACCCTTTCACAAAGTTACCAGTGACACCCAATTAAAGCCTTTCTCCAGCAATGCAGGAGACCCATTCTGGAGGTGAACGCTGAACTCGCCCCGCGTAAGTCACTGTTCAGGCAAGGCCCTGGTGGCAGAGTGTCTCTTCTTCCTTCACAACATACAAGGGAGGTGTGAGACCTGTCACTGGGGAGAACATGTTCCATTTTAGAATTCAAGGTGGAAATGAGGCATTCACGTCCTTGGAACATTCGTGTGTCCCACTTCGGAGACTGCAGTGTTAGAAAAACTGGCCCCTCAGCGTGACAGCTGAGTGTGCAAAAATATGGCTTAGAAGAAAGGCATTATAAATTTTGTTCATGGACTTCAACTCCAAACCAGGTCTGGCTGGATGCTAGCACTGGTCACCAAGAACAAGAAAAGCTGACTTTTCCAAACAGCTTTTGTTGAGCCAGATAAAACGAACCTTACCAGAGCTGTGCTGCGACAATTGGCCTCTGAGAACAGAGAGCCTTTTATGACAGCTGCGGCCAGCAAAGGGGAGAAGAGGGGAGGGGGGACCACCAGGGACTCAACTACAGGACAAAGTTCTCACAAGTGAGAACACCTGAGAGCAGATTCTCACGCTGTGGTTGCAGTGTGCCATCAAAAGGGGTCTTCTGTCTAAACAGCTAGCTACTGATGTGGGGGCCTGAATGGGGACAAACAGGCAATCCAGGTGAATCATCTGAAACAAAGCACCACTGGGACACCACTGGTGGAGCTGATGACCCAGTCCGACCTCCTCCGACGCCTTACTCACCTGCAGCTTCTGGTCTCTCGGGACAAAAAGAGGAAAAAATGTTTTTAATTCAGTTACAAGCTGATATCAACAAGCACTGTATAAAGGAGAATGTCGCTCAGAAAAACTAAACTAGAAGATTCCACAGATCTGCCGTAAATGTGTCTCTATTGCCCCACCATAGCAAATTTTAATCACAGAAGTGTTTTTTTTTTTTTTACATTTAACCTTTTTTAAAAAAATATAAAAGTTCAAATACTATGGCAGGGGAGACTACACACAGTAAAGCGTAAAATTACATCTCCCTCATCCCACGCCGAAAGAAAGAGGCAGCGTTTTCCAACGTCTGTGTCCTTCTTTTCCACAGCCCTCAACTTCATAGGGCATCAGCATTACCTGCGACACTTTCTTAAAATACCAATATCTGGGCCCCACCTCTGCATTTCTAATTCAATGGGTTTAGGACAAGCCCCAGGTATTGGTATTTTTTTAACCTCCCAGTTGACTCAAACGTTGCAGCCACTACTCTTGATGCTTTCTGATGCATACACAGACATCAACATATTTATTCTTAATCCAAACAACATCACACCATTCACACTGTTCTGACAATCCTTATGTGTCTCCTCATAACACATCTTGCCATGTCCTTTTCCTAGCAGCACATTATAGTTTGTTCCATTCTTTTTAAAGGGCTGAATAGGGCACCATTCTGTGCTAGGATTTACTTAACCAGTCTCCTACAGAGGGACTGATTCAGGGTTTTCCAGGCTTATTTCCGACAATGCTACCAACATCCTTATACAGTTTCCCTCAATATCCATAGGGGAATTGGTTCCAGGACTGCCACCCCCCCCCCAATCCACAGACACTCTAGACCCTATATAAAGGTTGTTTTAAATAACCTAATCTTTTCAGTTTTTTTTATTGCTTCTGAATTTTGTTTACACTTAGAAAGGTATTTCCTACTCTAAGTTTAACCATTTGGAATTCTTTTTTACGTAAGGAGGAAATACAAAGAATATGGCTTCTTTTTTTTTTTTTTTTCCTGTAATGACTAGCCAGTTCTTCCAGCACCCTTCACTGAATCATCTATTTTTACCTAGTGTTTTGAACAGCTATCTTTGTCATACATTAAATTCCCTAACAATATACTTTTAGATGGGACCTGGCAAGTCCTGTTGTTGTTCCAGCAGATGCAATAAGTCAGGGACGGGTGTATTACAAGGTTGGAAGCAAAACATAAACACAATTCTCACTTCAAGGGAAGAGTACAAATGAGCATGTCATATTGTCCTTCCTTTAGCCAATCAATAAAAAAATTTACTGAGCAACTACCATTGAGTCGGTGCCGTGCTGGCATGAGGCAGCTCGGGGTAGTGTTAAGAGGACAAACTGGAAGCCCACAGTCACATGTGAGCCTGGCTCCACCTGCCAGGAGCAACAGGACCTGCCTGTGCCTCACTGTCCTCCTCGCAAGGTTATTAGGAGGATTAGTTAAGTGAGAAGAGCTTAGAACCACATCTGGCATATACCAACTGCTCTACAAATGTTGACGTTATTATCATGGAGAGAAAGATAAATGACAGATCATTTCTAGATTCAATTTTTTCCCATTTTATGAGGAAAAGGTGATGCCTGTTTCCTTTCCAAACCTTCGCGGTGACCAGCCTTCTGCTCCCCTCCCACTGACTGGTTGCCAGTGAACCAATGGTGACTGCCATCAGTCTGACTCACAGATGTCACGGCAGCAGTAGCCATCTCAGACCAGGACCATGTTATGAAAAAGGGTAAATGTGAGGAAGCCAAACATGAGCCCAGCCCTAGAAGCCCATCACTGAGACCCAGCGCAATTCTGACCAGGAAGGTGAGTAGCTGTGCAAAGAGCAGCGTCAGGAGAGGCCCAGGGCTGCCCAGGTAGGACAGTGACGCAGGGCGGAGGGCACACACTGAGCCTTCAGCCTGCAAGGCACTTCATCGCTGCTTTCAGGGATGGCAGAAACCCTTACTGCTGAATGAGAAACAAGGGACAGATACCGGTGAGAAATGACCAAGAGTGATAAAGACTGAGGGCAGGGACTCAGAGCCAGAGTTGACAGTGGTCAAATATTAATACTTCAGACACTGTCCTCTTCCCTGCCTTAGAATTTATGATTGGGGGTAAGACAGAGTGGGTGAGAGATATACTGCATCAAACAGATATTAATTTAATACCTATGTTAAATTCAGGCTTCTGAATGTGTTTGTCGCATACTTGATTAGGAGCATCTGACATACTGAAAAATGATTTACTTAAATAAGCTAAACTCTGTGAAACGCCTGGCGTTCCTGGAATGAAGGTAAGTGGTGTATTTTTGCATTTGATAACTCATCAAAAAACTGTAGATTCTTACCTACCGGCTTAGTTAATTAAAAAAATTCAACCTACTGGTTAAAATTATTGTTTTATGAAACAAAAATTTTTCTAAGAGACTGAGACCTCTGATTACTTATTAAAGAAACAACATATGAAAACGGACAACCTGCCAAGTACATAAGCCCCTTGAACTTCCTAGTTAAATATTGTATTTTGAAATTTCCTTCTTTTCATAAAGGGTTTTTAATCATATAGGCAAATATACACAAGCAATCAGATCAGATTAGCATGTTTGACCAATGTCACCAGTGTAGAGACAATTGAGTTTCCGCATACAGTGGGGCCACACCTCTGTTCCTGCTCAGGAAGGTCCCCGCCTGAAACAGTGCTGTGAGCTGCTTGGCAGGAAGTTCAGAAGTCACTTCAGCGCGCAAACAGACCTGAGCACACCCTAGCACCCACCAGAGTTTGTGAAAGCGCGCAAACAGACCTGAGCACACCCTAGCACCCACCAAAGTTTGTGAAAGATTTGCTAGCTCGCCAAGTTTTTCAACAGTTTCAAAATATTTCACTCTGTCCCAAGAATGTCTGTAAGCCAGGGTTCAGCAAACCCCAGCCTGCTTTTTAAAGCGTTACTTACTGTACACAGCCATGCCCATTCATTAAGTACTGCTTTCCAGCTACGTGGCAGAATGGAATAGTTGAGACAGAGACCTAAACCTAGGGTTATTGGGAGGATTGAACATTTACTATCTGGCCATTTGGAAAGTTTGTCAACTCCCCCTCTAACCCATTAGGGCTAAATGACCAACACTGTATTCTGCTTAAGCTACTTTAAAAACTTACTAGGAAGCACACAGAATCCCCTCTTCTCACTTCCCCAACCCCCAGTTGTAATCACCATGTCCTCCCCAATGCTGGAAACTGATAGATTCTAAAGATTAAAACTTAAAAAATGAATGTGCATATTTAGTGTGAGACGGTATAAACACCAAAAAGTGAGTGGATGAGTGAAAATGAAAGAACCAAATTCCATCTTGTTTAATCTAGTACTTGGAATTCTCTGAAGAAAGCCCCACCCCTGCCCGCCACTAAGGCTACATCTTGGTAGAAGCTCCCAAATTCTTCCTTGAGTCCAGGAGTCTCGAACTGCGGCCCAACAACCAAATCCTGCCAGCCCCCCGTTTCTGTATACCACCCACAAGCAAAGGCTAGTTTTTATTTTTTTTTAATGGTCAAAACGTTAAAAGAATAATATTCATAAAAGAGCAGTACAAAAGTGCTGAGATAAATTCTGCACGTATTCCCAGCTGGCTGGATGCATGAGGGAGACCCAAGAGAGCCCAGCTAAACCCAAAACCATGGAGAACTAAGAACTGGCTGCAACTTTCAATGTGGTCCCCAAGCCCCACACAGACCTACTGCTAGACGGATAGGGATCTGGTCAGGTGACTCCCAGTCCAGTGCTCTTTCCACTGCCCCTTATGTTTAAGACACCAGAGAAATTCCAGGCTATGAAGTGATATTAGATGTCTATTTAGCCACATGCTATTTTGAGTGCATCCACAGTGGTACTATTAAAGCAGTGTGCCTTAGAAGAACATGCGTTTGGGGCAGGTAGAATTCATTTTTTTTTTGTTTTTTTGAGACAGAGTCTCCTTCTGTCACCCTGGGTAGAGTGCAGTGGTGTCATCATAACTCACAGCAACCTCAAACTCCAGAGCTCAAGCGATCCTCCTGCCTCAGCCTCCTGAGTAGCTAGGACTACAGGCACATGCCACCATGCCTGGCTAATTTTTCTGTTTTTTAGTAGAGACGATGGGGTCTCGTTCTTGCTCAGGCTGGTCTCCAACTCCTGGCCTCGAGCGATCCTCCCGCCTCAGCCTCCCAGACTGCTAGAGAATGTGGTTGTAATCCCAGCTCTCTCTCTTACTTTTTGTGTCAATTTGGGTGAGTTATGCAACCTCTCTGTATCCTATTCAATCCTTATAAAAGTCCAGTAAAGTAGGTATTACTGTTCCCATGTTCCAGTGTGCAGTGATATGAGATTTTTAAATCTATAAAAATTTTTTTCTGGTGAGGGTTAAAAATTATAATAGCTATAAAGCATATATCACATGGTAAGTGCTCAATAAATAGTTTTTTTATTTGGAAAAAGAAATATATTTCATGACATATGAAAACTGCACGGGATTAAAACTTCAGTGTCCATAAAGTTTTATTAGAACACAAACACGCCCATTCATTTACAGACCATCTATGGCTATGGGGTTACAACAACAGAGTTAAGTAGCTGTGACAGAGAGCACGTAGCCTGCAAATACTATCTGGCCCTTTCCAGAAAAGGGGTGCCAATGCCTGCCGTAGTCCAGTGGTTCTCAAACCTAGGTTAGCAGCATCAGCATCACCTTGGAATTTGTTAGCAATGCAAATTTTCCGGCTCATCCCAGACCTACCAAATCTGAGACTTGCTTATTACACTTATAAATGCAAGCACTGGCGAGCACAAGACCATGGCTGGCAAAACTGTGAATTGAGTCAGTTCTGCAAAAGGCACATCAAGGAGCAAAAACTATGACAATATAATCCGACCTGACAAGAAACAGGCCCAAAATACTCAAAATTAAGAGAAAGAGCATGTTGAATAGAGTTTTACTATCAGTGTCATTAACAGTGACTCCAGCCCTCAGTGTATATTGGGCCTTGAAATACATTATAACCATAACAGCACAAGTATAGAATTTATAAATAAGCAACACACCCACAGGGGAGTGCTATTTTTTTTTCCTTTTTTTACTAATGAGAATGATCAAAAAAGTTGGGAAACTATAATAAATTACAATATAAACCACTAGAATCACATTATATAGTATTTACATATGTACTTTTTTCCTGACAGGCACTAATCTCCAAAATCTTATCAAGAAGTTCTACTGGCCAGGCATGGTGGCTCATGCCTGTAATCCTAGCATTCTGGGAGGCCAAAGGTGCGAGGATCACTCTAGGTCAAGAGTTTGAGACCAGCCTGAGCAACAGTGAGACCCCGTTTCTACTAAAAATAGAAAGAAATTAACTGGACAACTAAAAATATATAGAAAAAAATTAGCTGGGCATAATGGCACATGCCTGTAGTCCCAGCCACTCGGGAGGCTGAGGCAGAAGGATTGCTTGAGCCTAGGAGTTTGAGGTCGCTGTGAGCTAGGCTGACGCCACGGCACTCTAGCCTGGGCAATAGAGTGAGACTCTGTCTCAAAAAGAAAAAAAAAAAAAGTAGTTCTGTTACTATAACCCTCAAAGATTTCAAAGGAAAATAAAGATCAAAATGTTGTAAAAATCTGAGAAGACATGGACCTCTTTTTCTGAATGTATGTGAACTTTCTGTGTAAAACAAAGCAAAGGCTCTCTGGAGATTTAGGAAACAATTCTTAAACTTCAAGAGCAGTCTCTCTTTTAACATAATTTCATCAGCAACTGGAAAAGTCTAGAAAAGAAGATAACCATGATTTATACAAACATCTTTTGGGGGCAAGAGAAATATCACACACCCTTTACTAAGGGGAAAGCAAAAACATAGTAAGCATAGTAGGATCATTCCTTCTACTTTTTCACATGTTTAGAAATTTTATTTTATTTTAAGAAATGGATTTTACTGTTGCCCAGGCTGGAGTGCAATGGCATGATCATAGCTCACTATAACCTCCAACTCCTGGGCTCAAGCGATCCTTCTGCCTCAGCCTCCAGAGTAGCTGGGAGGAACTACAGGCATGCACCACCACCCAGCTAATTTTGTTGTTGTTTTGCAGAGACAGGGTGTCTCTATGTTGCCCAGGCTGGTCTTGAACTTCTGGCCTCAAGTGATGCTTCCACCGTGGTCTCCCAAAGTGATGGGATTACAGGCATGTGCCACCATGCCCAGCTGAGGAAAGTTTTTAAAGATTTTTTTTCTTTACAAAAAAGAAGGGCTTAGGTAAAAAAAAAAAAATCCCAATCACAGATGTTATTTCACACATTAGGTTATTAAAAAAGAAATAAATCTTTTCATAAGACAACTTTTAAAAAAAGGAAAAACAAATAAGAACAACAATGCAACACAATTAAAACCAAAGGCACAGAAGAGAACACCTTCCTCCTTCCTCTCCACCCCAGGTCCTTTGAGAAGCAGAGCTGGTCTTCAGCAACCACGCTGCCTACAAGCTCCCTTTCACTAACAGTGTCCATCAACAGACTCCCTCTCCTGCTCAGCACACCTGCTTAAAGCAATGATGCTCCACCCTTCCAACTGGCCCACACGGAGGCATTTTCCCCAGGTTCTGTCCTTTCTGCTTCTGATGCAGAAAGCCAGTTTGCACCTTCACAGGACACGGTCTGGTCAGCAGTTCCCTCCCTGCTGGGGGAAGGTGGCCCCATAAACGCATGGCTACTGCAGACTCAAGTGTCCTAACTGTTGTTTCTGCCGCACCTCTCAAATAAAAAATAGGAAAAAAGGAATGTAAATGCTAAATCTTTTCATCTCCTATCAATAACTGAACCTATAACCAGTAATTAGAAAGCAGATGGCATCCTTTGCTCCTACTATCCATGTCACCACAATTTGTACCTCCCCAGCATGCACTTCCTCTCATTTCTCTCATTTTTGTGTAAACCCAATGAAAAAAATGTGATAACCGCTCATTGGGAGAGGAAAACATGTCTTAAAATCTAACCTCTCTTTTGTAAAACATCCTCTCTAAGAATTCAATCTGTGTCCATTGACACCTTAAGAACTGGGTGCCTGCCCTAAGTGCAGTAAGTCCTAGCAAGTTACTGGTTTATATTCACAAAGAAAGTAAAATTATTCTTACCAATAGCATGAACTTAGCTTAACCTTTTATAACACACGTAGAAGGAGCCAGAATGCCTTCGGAGAGCCACAAAAACCTACAAGAGATTGTACTGCTCCCCAGACCCCCTTAAATTCAGAAATACCAAAACTGCCAAATTTGAGGCAATCTGATGGTCGTGAACCAAAGTCACTCTAGCGCTGCCAAATACTTCATCAGGTCGTTGTACATCTTAATAACCTGCCCTTAGAAATGGTCCTCAATGTTTGTATAATGCAGGGCTCATGGACCCCAAATCAGACAAAGGAAAGCTCAAACCCATGAAAGACACACAATTTAGTTTTCCAAGTCTGGGGATGGGACATCTGAAAACGACTACCATCACCATGGCATTTCGAATATGATGATTCTTAAATACCGCTAAAAATAACATTTATCGAAATGGGTATTTTTCCCATTTGCTTTAATTTTTAGAAACAAATAATTACAAATATTAAATAGGGTGTGAAATATAAAGAGTGAATGGACCCAGGCCACTATTTTTTATAGCAGGGCAAAAGTTGTGTAGCCCCTGCACACCGGCAAGGATGCGAGAGAACCGGGGCACCCCTCGGAGCCGGCGGCGCCACGCTCAGGTCACCTGCCCGGCGGCGGCCGCGGCGACGCGGGGACCCGGGCGGCCGAGCGCGCGTGGGGCCGGGGAGGAAGGGGCGGCGGCGGCGGCTCCAGGCTCGGCCAGCCCGCGCCCTCGCGCAGATCCGCCGCAGAACCGAAACCACCGCGACCTCGGGGCGCACGCTCCCGACTCTGGATGCCGAGCGCGTGACAACGCTCGGAACACAAAGAAAGGCCCCGCACCGCCTCCGCGGGCGCAGGCGACCTTCGCTCGGGCCTCGCCGCAGCGCCCGGGGCCGCGCCCGGCCTTGGGGACAGAGCCCGGGGCCCGCGGCGGCGGCGGCGGCGGCGGCGTGCCCGCGAGCGGGAAGGCGGGCGCCCAGCCGCGAGCGCCGCCGGCAAAAGCTGCAGCCGCGCGAGCTGCCAGGAGCGAGCGGGGCCCGACCCGTGTCGCAGGGCCAGTCCGGGGAGCGAGGAGGACCGGGACCGACCCGTGTCGCAGGGCCGGGCCGGGGAGCGGAGAGGACAGGGACCGCGGCGCTGGCGCCCGGGACGCGCCGCACACTCACCTCCTTCCGCGGCTCGGGCGGCCGCTCGGCCTGCGGGCCCGGCCCGAGGCTGCCCGGCCCTCCGCCGCCGCGCCCGGGCCCCGCCCGCCCCTTTGCCGCGCCCCGCGCCTTGGCGTCCGGCCCGCAGCGGCGAGTCCCCGCCCGGCGGCGCCGCGAGCGCGGAGAGGCGCGGCCGGGCCTCGGTGCGCGCGCCCGGCCGCCGCCCCGCCCCCACCCCAGCGCGGCTTCCCGGGCGAGAGCCGCCCCCAACCTGAGGCGCGGGGGAAAGGTCGCCGGGGAGAGACGCCCCCTCCCGCCCGGAGGGAATGTTCCCGAAGATAGAGCCGACCACGCCCAGCGCCGCGGTTCCCGCCGCACTCCCGTCGCCTTCTTCAGTGGTCTGGGACAGAACTGCCCAGAGGAGGGAGGCCGACGAAAACCTGGTGTTCAGGGAGTCAAGACTCACGCAATGTCTCTTGCGCACCGGGCAGTCCCTGTTGGCCCTCAGGGACCATCAGACTACTTGCAACGGATACGGCGACGGCTCCTAGCGCCTGCAAGAGTGACCTTCTAGGACTCTCTAAGGATGGAGCTTGGGAGTCTGGGTTTCAGACAGCGCTTCAGGTGACTCTCGGGCGCAGTGACGCGTGAGGAGCACTGTGAGAGCTTACCGCCCTGAGAGGAGGCCACGAAACTAATGACCCGCGCGGTAACCGCGCCAGAAAATTCGAAAGCAGTGATTCTTAACTCTGGTAGCACTGGCCAGACACCAGAGTTGTTTGGGGAGCTTTTAGACCGTTTATGTGCCAGGGTCCCACCTCCAGAGTTTTCAAACTGAACACTGGTTTTTTGTTTGTTTGTTTTAAAGCCTCCCAGATCATCGGGAATACAGTATATAGCCAGCACTGAGAAAGTTTCTAGAATCCTCTCTTTTAAAGCCTTCTTAGCTCTGGAAAGGAAACCCCTTCCTCTGCACCACTCCCAAATCCCAACAACAAAACACAGGCAAGTCAATATATGAACTCCTTAAGGAATGCTCACAGCCAAAAATTGTTTCTAATCGGAACAAAGATTCACCTTGAAAAAGGTGACCAAGACGCCTTACTGCCCGTTCAAGCATAGCTCTCCTTTAACTGCGGGAAAAGTATTTTTAGGAGCCAAAACCTCTCAGCTGAGTTAGAAGCTGACAATATATGACCCCTTTAGAATAAAGTTGTGTTATATTCCAAAATGATATTGTTGTTACCTGTGACTGTTAAACTCTTGCAGGGTCAGACCAAGGATTTAGAAGCTGAGGCTGTGCTTGACATCAGCCCTAGCTGTGCAGGTGACGTCACTTGCATCGTCCTTCTGACCTTCTGGCAACCCTGAGTGACCACAATCAGCATTTTTGGACAGGTACAATAAATCCCCTTTATTAACCTTTTTGATTTTTTAGTATTTTTGCATTCTTAGACTGGTGGTCCATAATGTCCATCTCATTTGCCACTAAGAAGGTCTCTGTTAGTCTCTCATTTATCAGCAACTAATTAGTAACTAAGTCAGTGATTTTTTTTTTTTTTTTTTTTTTTGAGACACAGTCTCACTCTGTTGCCTGAGTAGAATGCAGTGGTGTCATCGTGGCTCACTGCAACCTCAAACTCCTGGGCTCAAGTGATCCTCCTGCCTCAGCCTCCAGAGTAGCTGGGACTACTGACCCTCGACACCACGCCTGGCTAAGTTTTTCTATTTTTAGTAGAGATGAGGTCTCTCTTTTGCTCAGGCTGGTCTCAAACTCCTGAACTCAAGCAATTCTTTCACCTTGGTGTCCCACAGTGCTAGGATTACAGGTGTGAGCTACCACACCTGGCCTAAGTCAGTGATTCTTAAGCAATTTATGGAATAGGTACATATGTCTAGGTGCTAAGGCAGCTGGCTGAATTAGCTACATCTTTACTGAAGGAGAATTAGTCCTTTTCAAGTTTCATTAGATTCTTTGTGATAAAATTTAGAGTTTTTAAGATGTAGTTATATATATGTACATATATGACTTATATTCCTTAAAGCTCCCTTCTATTTCCTCAAGTCTTTTCACCCAAAATATGTAAGCTAATCAGTTACTGGCCTTAAACATTCATCTGGATGGGTTTTGCTTAAACAATGTACAAGGCGCTGGGGTGGTTGGTTGCAGTGGGCATCCATGTTTTGCCTGTTCAGCATCCTTTCCCTCCTGTCTTAGTCTGATTCATGTTGCTATTACAGAATATCACAGACTGGGTAATTTATAGAGGAAAGGAATGCATTTATCACAGTTCTGGAAGCTGAGGAGTTTAATACCAAGGTGCTGGCATCTGCTGAGGGCCTTCTTGGGGCATTGTCCCGTGGCGGAAGGTGGATGGGTAAGACAGCACATGCGCACTCAAGAGCCTTGAGCCCTTTTTTAATTGGCATTAAGCCATTTATGAAAGTGGGGCTTTCATTACATCAGCACTTCCCATTAGGCCTCACCTTCCAATACGGTTGCAATGGGAATTAAGTTTTCAACACAAGTTTTATGGGGGACACATTCAAACCATAGCCCTTCATTTGCTAGTGACACCTGATTTTCATACTGTGGCCTCCTCCCTACTGTCCAAGGGATATGGCCAAATACTATTCTGGGCAGTGTCTTCTCCAGGTCAAAGGGTGGACCCTGAGTTAGTTTTCTATTTGCTGCTATAACACGTGATCATAAACCTAATGTCTTGAAAGAACACAAATTTATCACCTTACAGTTCTATGCGTCAGAAGTCTCACAGGCTAACATCAAGGTGTCAGCAGGACTGTGCTGCTTCCTGGAGGCTCCAGGGAAGATCTGTTTCTTTGCATTTTCCAGCTTCTGGAGGCCACCCACCTTCCTTGGCTTGCCAGAAGTGTGACTTCTTTCTAGTCTTGCTTCCATAGTCACATCTCTCTGACTTAGCTGGGAAACGTTCTCCACTTTTAAGGACCCTTGTGATTACATTGGTCCCACCCAAATAGTCCAGGATAACCTCCCACCTCAAGATCCTTAACTTAATCAAATCTGCAAAGTCACATTTGCCATATGTAAGATAACAGTCATAGATTCTGGTATTTTAGGATGTGGAACTCTTTGGGAGGCCATTATTCTGTCTACCACAGATCTAGAACCTCAGACTGTTCATCACACTCTGTTTCTGGAATGAACACAGATACATCCCTAGGACTGCAGAGTATGGGTGTGCACTCATTTCAATGATGGCACCCTTCCTTCTTGGTATACAGAGCTGGAAGGTTGGCTCCTGTGCATCCCAAAACCTTTCTCTCCTGTTTATGCTTCAATTCTGAGACTTTCCCCAGAGTCTAGAGCTTGCTAGAACTAAATGTAAAACATAGTAGAATAGCATTTGTGCAATATTAATCAGGGGTCTTGGTTGCAAACAACAGAAACAAACTTTTATTAATCTTAAAATGGGAATTGGACAGTTGTCAGGGTCTCACAGAATCAGTGGTGAGAATTGGTAAAATCAAATTGATTGATTTCCAGTCAGGTTAGAAAACCTAGATGTTGCATAGGACTAGGCAGCAGGAATCACTGCAAAAGAAATGAAGCAGGAAGAATGACTGTAGTATATGTGTGATAATCTGCTGTGGCTTTAAGGAATAGGACCTCCAACTGACCTCACATGACTTGGGAACACTTGCTCAAGATAAACAATGTGGGGAGGAAGTTTCCAACTGGAGGAGTCTGATTCAATTTGTGTGCCCATCCCCCAGGCTAGCAGACACAACCCTTGTGGTTTATGTAGTGGGAAGTGGCCAACAATTTTCATCAGGACTCCACACCATGGGACATTCCCCAGAAAGAAGATTGGAATGCCAGTGAAAAGAGGAAATAGGATGCTGGCGGGCAGAAAAAAAAATAGCAAATTTCTTCCATAAATAGCCTCAGAGAAATTCAAAGAGCCATGGAAGTTCAAAAGTGGGAGATAAGTCATATCATTTAGGAAAATAAGTAAAGAGTATATAGAAGGTATGTGTAGAACAGTGGTGTCCTATTAAAATAAAATTCATTTTTAGGTAAGCCTCATCTATGCCTATTTTTTTGAGAGTTCTTATCATCAAAGGGTGTTGAATTTTGTCAAATGCTTTCTCTGCGTCTATTGAGAGGATCATATGGTCTTTGTTTTTACTTCTGTTTATATGGTGAATTACATTTGTAGATTTGCATATGTTGAACCATCCCTGCATCCCTGGGATGAAGCCCACTTGGTTGTGATGAATTATTTTCTTGACAAGCACCTGGATTCTATTGGCTAGGATTTTGTTGAGAATTTTTGTATCTATTTTCATTAGGGATATAGTTCTCTTTTTTTGTTGCATCCTTACCTGGTTTTGATATCAGGGTTATGTTCGCTTCATAAAATGTGTTGGAGAGGCTTCTATCCTTCTCGATGCTGTGGAATAATTTCTGCAGGATAGGCACCAGTTCTTCTTTGTAGGTGTGGTAAAATTCTGGTGTGAAACCATCTGGTCCAGGACTTTTCTTTTTAGGAAGGTTTTTTATTGCTGTTTCAATTTCAGTACTTGATATCTGTCTGTTCAGGAATTCTATTTCTTCCTGGTTGAGCCTAGGGAGGCAGTGTGTTTCTAAGAAATTGTCCATTTCCTCCACATTTTCCAGTTTGTGTGCATAGAGGTTTTGTAGTATTCATATATTATATCTTGTATCTCTGTGGCATCCATTGTAATTTCTCCTTTATTGTTCCTGATGGAGCTTATTAGAGATTTTTCTTTTCTGCTTTTCATTAGTCTAGCCAAGGGTGTGTCAATTTTGTTTATTTTTTTCAAAGAACCAACTTTTTGTTTTATTAATCTTCCGTATAGTTTCCCTGTTGTCAATTCCATTTAGTTCTGATTTGAACTTAATGATTTCACTTCTTCTGCTGTGTTTGGAGTTGGTCTGTTCTTCTTTTTCCAGCTCTTTGAGGTGATTCATTAGGTTGTCTATTTGTGATCTTTTCGACTTTTGGATATAGGCATTTATGGGAATAAACTTTCCTCTAAGGACTGCTTTA